GCTGTGTTGACCTGGGAGAGAGCAGCCCACACTTGGGCCACAGGCTGCACTCGTGCCCTGGGCTTTGGAGGGCGGGAGACGCCCCAGGCCTGGCCTGTTTTCTCTGCCCTGATCAGAAAGGGGAGTGGATCACATTCTCCCTGGAGAGTTTGTCCTCTGAACCAGTCTGTTCCCTCCTCAGTCATCACCGGGATCCTAGCAAGGTGCAGCCCTTTTGCGGGGAGCTGGACACGGGCCTCAGAGTCCCTCAGACCCGGCTCTAACCCCTAGCTCTGCCCATCACCAGCTGTGTGATCCTGAGGAAGTTATTTCACTTTCATGAGCTCCGTTTTCTCATCTGTAAAATCCAGTCAGTTCAATTAAGTGTTTATCGAGCACCAGGCACCATGCCCCCGGTGTGAGGACGGCGAGGAGGAGGGGCCCAGCCTGGCAGATGCACGTCTCTCTCGCCCCCCAGGGCTGTGGGAGGGTCAGGTGGTTGATACATCTGAAGTGGCCAGTGGGGTCCAGACAGACGAGGACTGCCTGGACTCTCCACCCCCTTGCAGGTGGCAGAGCTGAAGCAGGAGCTGAAGTTGCGGTCACTGCCCGTCTCGGGCACCAAGACAGACCTGATTGAGCGCCTGCGCGCCTACCAGGAGCAAATCAGTCCCGCCGCTGGAGCACCCAAGGGCCCTGCCGCTGCCTCCATCCTACCCAAGGCTGGCGAGGTGGTGGTAGCCTTCCCCGCGGCCCGGCTAAGCACGGGGCCCACCCTGGTGGCAGCAGGCCTGGCCCCGGCTGAGGTGGTGGTGGCCACGGTGACCAGCAATGGAGTGGTGAAGTTTGGCAGCACGGGCTCCACGCCCCCTGTGTCTCCCACCCCCTCAGAGCGTTCACTGCTCAGCACAGGCGACGAGAACTCCACGCCCGGGGACACCTTTGGCGAGATGGTGACGTCGCCAGTGACCCAGCTCACCCTGCAGGCCTCGCCGCTGCAGATCCTTGTGAAGGAGGAGGGCCCCCGCGCTGGGTCCTGCTGTCTCAGCCCTGGGATGCGGGCAGAGCTGGAGGGGCGTGACAAGGACCAGATGCTGCAGGAAAAGGACAAGCAGATCGAGGAGCTGACCCGCATGCTCCGGCAGAAGCAGCAGCTGGTGGAGTGGCTCAGGCTGCAGCTGGAGCAGGAGAAGCGGGCCCAGCAGCCCACGCCAGCCCCTGCCCTGGTCACGCTTGATGCCGCAGTGAAGCAGGAGAACAGCCTTGCCAGCTGCCAGCTGAGCAGGCAGCCCCCGGGCCCTGATCACCCCTTCGGCCCCAGCCTCGCGGGCCCCGCTGCCCACCATGTAGACACTTGTACCCTGGTGCCCCCGGCCGTGGTGGTGAAGCAGGAAGCTGTGCTGCCCGAGCCTGAACCAGCCCCGGCCCTGGTCACGCTTGGTGCCACAGTGAAGCAGGAGAACAGCCTTGCCAGCTGCCAACTGAGCAGGCAGACCCCAGGCCCTGATCACCCCTTCGGCCCCAGCCTCGCGGGCCCCGCTGCCCACCATGTAGACACTTGTACCCTGGTGCCCCCGGCCGTGGTGGTGAAGCAGGAAGCCGTGCTGCCCGAGCCTGAACCAGCCCCGGCCCCGCAGCTGCTTCTGGGCCCACAGGGCCCCAGCCTCATCAAGGGGGTCACACCTCCCACACTCCTCACTGACTCCACAGGGACCCACCTTGTCCTCACCGTGACCAATAAGAATGCAGACAGCCCTGGCCTGGCCAGCGGGAGCCCCCAGCAGGTACCTGGGTGTGGGAGGGGCAGGAGCCCCAGGAGGGCGTGAAGGCACTCTTCGTGACAGTGCCCTGTTCAACCAGGTTCCCCCGTGGCCGGGCGGGTTATGCTCGCTTCCTTTAATCTTCCCTTCAACCCTCTGAAACTAGGGATCGCCATCCCGGTGTCACCCAGGAAGGTGCTCAGACTTGAAAAGGTTGAGGCACCTGTGTGAGGCTCCCAGCCTTGAGGGTGGGGCCACGAGGGCCTGCCCACTGCTCTGGCGGTTGGCGTCAGAACCCTTCTGTGCCCGGCCGACGGCTCCTGAGCAGCCCCACACGGGCCAGGCCACTCCTGCCTCTGCTCCATGGGGTGGGGCAGGACCAGGGGAGGGTCAGGGAAGCCCCTCCTGGGATAGACTGAGGGCCGCCAGGCTGGGCCTGATGCGAGCTCCACTCCTCTCCTTCCCCTCAGAGAGGCCAGCTGTCCCCCACCAAGGTGACATTGGCAGCTGGCTCCCTGCTGCTGCCACCCTCGCAGCCCAGACCCTTCACTCAGCCTGGCCCAAAGGTGAGGCTGCTTTAGGCTTTGTGTGGCCTCTCAGCCCTGCCGAGCTGGGGGTCGGGGGGGGGCAGTGACAGGACTCGGGTACTCAGGAAGGGACACAGGCCCCTGAGCATCCTCAGGAAGGAGAGGGGAAATTAGCCCAGAGACCCCCACCCCCCAGCCTCTGCCCCGTGTGGTTTGTACCAAACCCTAGGGAGCCAGTCGCCCTCTGTAGGGTCAGAGGTCAGGGCCTCCTCCATCCCACATCCCTTCTTCCCCGGGGGCTTCCACGAAAGCTCTCCGAGAGCCAGTGCAGGTGGCAGAGCTGCCCGCCTTGCCTGCCTGGAGCGTGTGGGCCCTGGGCTGTTGCCCTCGCCCCCAGCCACTGGTTCCCTCCCTTTC